CTCTGCACTACACCCCGAACTGTGGTGAGTCCTCTCCAGCACGTCCTCTGCACTACACCCTGAGCTATGGTCAGTCCTCTGCAGAGCGGCCTGTATCTCTGCACCACATTACTGGACTACAGTGCATGGCTACCCCTCGGCACGGTATTGTGCTGTGTCACACTTCGGTGTCCAGTTCAACCTGATATAGTCATCTACTTTGTGGAAGATCTGTTGATGATGTTTTACTGTTGCTGTGCTCTACAGATCAGTACTGAATTCTACAAAGCTGAACTGTACTCTGAGGAAGGCTCCACGGCTGAAACGTTGTGTTTTCTTTCTTCTTTTTTCAGCATGGAATAAACCTATTACTTGCACTGTACTCTGTAGAGCTGTGCTGTTGTACTCTACTGCTACTGTGCTGAAGTCTACAGATCTGTATTGCTGTACTCTTCAGTGGAGTACTGTACTTCACTGTGCTGTTGTGCTTTACAGAGTTGTACTGTACTCTACAGAACTGTGCTGTTGTACTTCACAGGGCTGTACAGATATTTACAACATGGATTTGGAAAAGGTAGATAAAAATTGCCTGAACAACTTGATAGAGTTCTTTAAAGCCAGCACCAGCAAAAATAGATACACTGGGAATATGATCAGGTATCTTAGATTTTGAGAAGGCTTTTGATAAAGTTACACATAACAGAGTAATTCTCATCTGATAATTTGGATTGAGAATTGGTTAATGAAATAAGAGTACAGATAAGGAGTAAATGCTGTGGTCTAGAGAGCTGTGCTGTGGTCTAGAGAGCTGTGCTGTGGACTAGAGAGCTGTGCTGTGGTCTAGAGAGATGTGCTGTGGACTAGAGAGTTGTGCTGTGGTCTAGAGAGCTGTGCTGTGGACTACAGAGCTATGCTGTGGTCTACAGAGATGTGCTGTGGACTAGAGAGATGTGCTGTGGTCTAGAGAGATGTGATGTGGTCTAGAGAGCTGTGCTGTGGACTACAGAGCTGTGCTGTGGTCTAGAGAGCTGTGCTGTGGTCTAGAGAGTTGTGTTGTGGACTAGAGAGTTGTGCTGTGGTCTAGAGAGTTGTGCTGTGGTCTAGAGAG